TTTAACAATTTTGATTAAATAGTTGTTGAGATATTTTAATTTAAAAATTAAAAAAAAATTACTAAAAATAATTTGTCCCTTTTCTATTGACTCACCCCCATATTTTGAAAAACCAAAATTATCACAAAAGTTATTTGGTTCATCCTTTTTAATACAGGGATTTGTTGTTGTTGCTGACTTAAAAACTGTTGTAATACTTAGTGAATAGTTAATAGTGAAATATACAGGTGCAACACTTTTTTTTTTCAATGATTTTTGAACTACCTGTTTTTTGTTTACAATCTGTTTTTTTGCTTTAACTACAGAAGGATATTAAATAATTTAATCATGAAATGAGTAAACATAACAATTAAACAAAAGCGTTAAACATTTAATTCCCTTAAATAATAAATAAAATATTACCTTTCTTGGTTTTAGGCTTTACTACTTTCTTTATCTATTCCAATAATCTATGCTTGGATTCTAGAGATTTTTATTGGTAGATAATTTATTGATGTCATCATTACAATCTTTTAAAATACAGATAAATTGTTTTTTATCAAAAATTAGAACACCAGTATCTAGATCTGTAATAAAGAGCATACTATTATACTTAGAATTATCATCATTACCTAACTTAGTCTTTTCTATAGTGTTTCTATTACTTTGTTTGCTTATTTTTTCAGCAAGTTGAATATATTTTTGATGCAATGATGTATATTCTTCCAAACTTGCTTAATAATAGGTAATATTAATTTAACAGGAATTGTCATATCATAATAATAAAAAAGGTGTTCCAAAATTTTCTTAAATACAAAATAAGAGTTGATAGATCTTTTTGCATCCTTTTTGTATTTCTTAGCAGGAGGCATAGTGAGATTTGGTTAATGAAACAAAGCAAAAACAAAGCTATTTAAATAGTCTTTTCTAATAATAACTCAAACCAATAAAATGAGTGCTAATCAATGTCAGATCTATCTTATAAAAGAAAACGTGCTAATGCACTATTAGACAGAATTATATATTGATTAAAACTGATTCTAGACAACACAAACCCCTATGTTTAAATAAGAAAATAATGCATTTTAGCTATCTCTACCAAGGTAACAACAAATCATGCAAAAATGGATATAATAGAAGTTATTTAAAAGCAGCAAGAGAATTATACAGACAATCAGTTTGGTGTATAATAAACAAAATTCTTATTTGATAATTAAGGTAGATCTTTAGATTACTAATAACAAAGATAAGTTGTTTATTAATAAATATTTACATAATTGTTATTGTTTATACATGATCTTCCTATATTCAAAAAAAGAGTTTGCCTTATCTTTTTAAGATTAGCCTTTCTATATCTATTATTATATCTATCAAAATGATGAATAATTACAATTTCTTATCAGTAATTACTTTATCTAGTTCATCAAAAAGAAGAATCTGCTAAGCTATGTTATACATGCAGCATTAAAAAAACAAATTGTTTCTTACCGACAATTAGTTATTCAAATTTCTATAATTAGATTAGCGATTTTTGAAAGATGTAGTATACACAGTACAAAATAAAATAAACAAAAAAACAAATCATATACCATTATCTGTATAATCTTTAATAAGTATACTTTTTAGGATTTATTTTATATGTATATTTGTATTATTGTTACTATATTAAAATTGATTATTTTAAAAGCAACTAATAGATAGCACACTCTTAAAACATAATTCTTTATTACTTAAAGCTTATATTTGCCATATTTAAACATATAAAACATAAATTTGATTTGTTTATCAAATAAAAAATACTATAATTTAAATAAGTCTTAATAATTGTTAAAAAGGAAATTATCTTAAATTAGATAAAGTAAGATATCTTTTAAATAACTTAATTATGAAAACAAGCTTAGATTAACATACTTAAACAATGTGCTAATTAAAGTTGTTAATTGTCACTAGGACTAACTTTTTCATAAGTAACTTTATAATCGCTGTAATTTTAGAAAAATATAGAATCTTAATTTGGATCCAAAACACATAAAGCAGATATAATATTTAAAAAATATACTCATGCTTTATAATGCCATACTTCAATAGTAAATAATATTTTGCATATAATCTTTTGTTTGGAATTTAGTTCTAATATAAAAAGCTGAAAAAGGTAAAGAACTTGCAGTGTTTTTCTATCATTCATTTTATCAAAATCAATATCCTAATTATTATTAAGTTGGTCAATAACTTTTTTAATTTTGGTAAAGTTTTCAGACACAAGATTTGGAAGTTTAGATTTTAATATGAGATATATTGCTACTCTATTAATATCCTTTTTTAATTTTTATTTTATAACTCTGTATGTTTTGTTGTATATTCTTTTTTAATTGTTCTGTGTTGGATAATAAAATGTTTAGGAGATTTCTTAATGATTGCCTTGTATCTTATTTAAATTTTGCAAGACAAATATTAAGCATAAATGGAAATTGTAAAGCCAAAAAAAGGATATTAATAAAATACCTAAGTTGTTCTTTGTCTGTTTTTTTTTTTTTTTACAGTAATATCAAAACAAATCTTTCTTTTAAATATTTGAGTAGTTTTGTATTTAACCTTTACTTTTAGGTTGAAAACAAAAGAATTTTCAATACATATATCTAGGTTTTTAATAAAGGTTTTGGAAGTTTCATTTTTGTCTATGCTAGCTTCAACAAGTTCTTTAATTATTGGATATTTTCTAATAATAATTTTTAAGGCAGGTTTGGTATAATCACCTTTTTTTTTATTGTCTTGTTGGTTGTTTTTGTTCTTTAAAAATTTAGCAGCAACATTATATATTTTTTAGATAATTTTATCAATAGCTTTTTTCTCAATATAAAAGGTGTGTTCAACTGACATTATACAAGGACTTATTGTTTAAAGTTAAATTTAGATGATTATAATAAATAAGATGATCTGCTCAAAGAAACAAAAAATATTCCTTAAAAAGAGGCTCCTTATAGAGGGTTTGCCCTCAGAGTTTTAATTAGCAAAAAAAACAAAGGACACAAAACAATTAAAATGCTTGACCATGCAAAGTTCTTTATAAAATCCAAAAATGATAAAACAAAAGGTTACTTCTGTAAATCACTTAACTAAAATTGATTGTTTTTATAAAAATAAAATAATTGCATCCAAAAGATTGCTATATTTCCTATCTAAATCTAAACTGTGCTTTGTTTTTACTTACAGCTTTTATTATATCTATACTAAGCTTATCAGAATATCTATCAATTCTTACTAAGAAAGCAATATATAATAAAGATAGTTAGATCAGCAATCAATAAACACTTGATTAAAGTCTTGGCCTGACTAATCTAGTCCTCATTTTGAAAATACATCAATCCTTAAATAAACAATTTACTTTAATCTAAATAAGCCACTCGGCACATAATACATATAATCTTTTAGAGCAAGTGCAAAAATATATTACTAAGAGAATTATTTAAATCAAACAATAAGGTGAGTCAAGGAATAAATAAATAAGGTAATTTAAATAAAACCAATGCCAATAAATGATGATTATTACCTTTTAAAAATAACTAATTATAAAAACAAAAAAAAACTTCTAAACAGACTAACTTATTGTAAATATTTATAGTAAACAAATGATAATCTAGCTACTCATATATAACTCTATAGCTTTTATTTAAATTATTATAAATATAACTATCTAGTCTGCCTTTAAGCCTATTCTATTTTGGGCTGCACTACTTATGATTGTGTTCTAATCCTGTTTTGTTAATACTTCAAAAAGCATTATTAATTTTAAATCAAAATTTTAAAAAAAGTATTGTCTTTGTTGTCAGATTAGCCTATTAGGAATAACCCTTGTATAACTTACAATTATTTGTTTTTATTCTAGCTAAGATCCTCATAATAAAAGCCTTTTAAGAATTAAACTCTAATGAGTTTACTAATCTTATAAGTCACATGCCCAAGTTTATTAAGACAAAGATATTGTTTAAAGTTGCTTTAAAATGGTTTTGTTTGATTAAAAAACAAAGCTAATAAAAATAATACCAGTTTTATATTAGAGACAAAGCCCTGTTTGCTTTTTTTATACTCATTTTATTTACCAAAAAAAAGATGATGATCTCTTGATTAATCATATCTGCAATATGCTTGTTACTTCAGAGTGAACTGTAGATCATAATAACTTCAATTTACTATTTTGATTAGCTAATAATTATTTTAAACATGACTTATTAGTTGATACACAGTAAAGAATAGAATATTTAAAGAAGGCACTAAAAGATTATTAACAGTGGGGTTTTTTTCTTAACTTCTCTAAGAATATACAAATATAGATTTTGAAAAAGAATCTTTCCTTTATTGCATCATCAATTGGTTGTTTAAAAAAATAGCCGAAATAACAAATACAAACTCTGATCATGCAAAATCAAACTTTGCTAGTTTGTTAGAAAGCACCTTATATTTTATACATAATGAACATCTTGCATATTGTCATAGTACAAACAATAGTAAATACAATACTTTACAAAATGATTTTATAAATTTATAAAAACAAAAGCTACAAAAATAATATCAACAATAGTCTTCAAAAATATAAAAACACTTCTTGACATCATGATAAAGATATTCTAGAAAAACACTTGTTAGACTTTTATAAAAACTATCTAAGTATTTGTAATATACAAATGACTAAAAATTGGCACAAAGATTTAAAACCACAATACAGATTTCCTAATTGTCCAAGATTTGTTAATTCAATTTATGAATCCAAGGTAAGCATTTTAATTTGAACCAATATCTTTTCAAAAAGTTTATCACAAGTTTCTAATTAATATATTTTTGTATATAGTTTGAATATAATCTTGAGCTTAAAGATAACAAGATAGTGTTTTCTATTTTTGATGTCATTGATAATCTTAAGATAAAAAATTAGTAAATGTAAAACCATTTGAATTTTCAAAACACAAAGTCTATCTTCAACAAAAAAGAATTTGATGATAGTTATTCTTTTTAATCCTTTTTAGATAATTAAGTTACACAATACATTGTATTTTGTCTTTTATATAATATGTATAAAATGTATTATGTATAATATTAAATACTAAGAATGTAACATGTAAACAGTTTTTTATATAATATGTTGGGTGGCAAATTATGACATTTAGATTAAGATTTTATATATAATATACATTATGTAAATTAAGCAATATGTTAATAAATAAGTATCAACATTGCTGGCACTAAGTTACTTAAATATACTGTGCTACAAAAAGATTATTATAATTAAACAAAACAGGAATATTGATGTTACAATTTATTATTAAAATCTTATTACCCATATATTTGTTAAATAATCTAGGTTTTTAGAGACAATTCCCCAGGCAAACACTTTAAATACACTTTTACAACTGTAATAAACCTGGGTAATAATTATAAATACTACTACTAAAATGTACTCATTATATTATATACACAGAAAGAACAATTAAATTACATATAATCTAACTCTTTTAATATTTCTCCTAAAGCCTTTAACCAAAGCTGTTTTAGGCAATGAGAAATAAAAAGTTTAGTTATAGGTTTAACCAAGGTACAATAATCTTTTTTATTTTATCAACTTAGACAAGTTGTGTCAGAACAAACACATTTAATTACTTTGTTCTGGTTTATTTTAATAGTAAATATTTTTCTTTAGTTTAGATATTTGGTATTGTTTCTTTCATAGATTAAATATTTCTATTTTGAGGGTACAGACTTAAAAAAGGTTGATATAACAAGATAATGTATTAAAAAGCAAATTAGGTAATCTCCAAAAAGATGAGTAAATCGTATAGAGTCAATTGTATAAATAAGATATTCTAAACTATAGTAAAGAATTAATAAAGAATTAGTAAAGGATTAATAAGGTATTAATTAATATAAAGATCTAAAAAAGCAAATAAATAATGAGGTTTAACAATACATAATTATCAATATTAATAATTTAGTGTTTATACAACTATTTTGGTATTAATACTAAAATTTAGTATTAATGTTAAAAATTTAGTATTGATATAAAAATTAGATCTACTATGCCTTTTAAGCTATATGTAATTTTCTAGTTTGTATAACTAATTTATTTTATATTATAAAGATATAAGGATGCTATATTGATATTGGGTATTGTTATCAAAATAGAATTGGTGTGTGATGATATTATATACAAGTAAAATAGAAAAAAATAATAAAAAAATAAAATAAACTAAAAATAAAAAATATATATATAATTTAATAAATATGTTTTTAATCTATAACAATATTTTATAATTTATATATAATTTAAAGACAAATATGCTATAAAAAAGAATCAAATTTATTGTATTTATTATTAATTTCATTTGATAAAGGAGAAAGTTTACTTTTATTTATTGAAATGACAAATTAGAAATAAGAGATCCATATAATTTTGAACAATATAAATTTGATGTTGTTTAAAAAAAACAAAAAATACAAAGTTAATAAATGAAAAATCTATATTATTAAATTTGGTTCAAGAGATTTATAACAACTATAGATTAATAATAGTTTTATAATAAATAAAATAAGGTTTTATAGAAGTGCTAAGCATTTTTTACATAGTATAACAATTTAGAATATTATACTGATATGCTTTAAAAATTTCTATTCATAGGTAAACTGATATTACAAATCACCTAAAGAATTTTTTTTTGAAAAAAGTTTTTTTTTTATTTATTTGTTTATTTTTTTTTATTACATATTTATTTTTGTTTGTTTGTTATTTTTTATTTATTTATATTCGTATTATTCTTGAGTAGACAGGCATTTATTATGATATTTCTTAATTTATAGTGTCTATACAAAGCTATAAGCCTCCATATTCTGCTGTCCTAAGCAGTCCTGCATTATCCTAAACATTAATTGGTAACTCTTAATCTAACCTCATATGAACTGGTCTTCTACTGCTTCTTCAGTAAAAGTAATTTTCAAAACCTGGTTGAATGGTTTCATGAAGAAGACCAATAACCATTGTATGGTTATCATATAATTATCTATACAGGTTTATTCAAGAGGCCATACCCAGTAATACACACTCGAATATATCAATCATTTGATACACACATAAGTTGGTGAACATTTATTAACAGGATGAACTTAAGGCATTTAATTATTATAATACTTTTAGTTATCCATTAAAGGGATTATTAGTGACAGAAAGAAGTGATATTAAAAATAGAATTATTGAGAAGAGAAGAGAAAATATGTCCCACCTATAGAATAGTCTAAATTATTTATGTAAGATCAATTATGTATTTAAGAGCCAGCTTTTTGCTTTCAATAAAGATTTTTCAGACTTCACTCTCAAATACTTTTCTTGTCTTATATAATTGAAGCTCCAAGGCTTATTAAAACTAGTATAAAGATATAACTGTACATTGTGATATTAAGTTCACATGCTCCTTGTTAGCATAAATTGCTAAAGTTTGTTTAATTTTATCTAGTTTTTGTTCTATTAAAATTGTTCAAGATCCATAAACAGATATTCACACTCTCACCCCCATATTGTGAATACATCTTCATGATCTCATTATTATATTATGAATACATCTTAACATTCTCACACCTTTCCTATTGTTAACCTATTCGGATTCATCTATCGCGCCTTAAATCAATCCTGTTTAGGGTTGTCAACAATTGACAATCAGGATTAATCCATCCACATGCATCCATTCTGCATTTCTTAAAGCCTCAGTACACATCTCTTAAAAATATTTTAAGCAGATATCTTTCTGTTTCATATCTGCAATGTCCCTATATAATCTGCCCCTAGAATTTCCTCTATGATTTCCCTCACTAGTGAACGCCCAGTTCCCACCCATAACCCATAACTGATTAATATCCTAATCTATTTTTGGCACCCAATAATCTGATGCTCTCCCAATTCGATAGTAACACCGGGAATGTTTAACGAAAATACTCGAAAGAGGGCGTAAATTTGGCGGAGCCAAGTTTATACTTTATTAGAATATATGCGAGATAACCTTTACTTGATAACAAATGCTATGTTATATGGTATTTACATATTTACTAATTCTACTAAATCTACCCGTCTCCTATTTCTACTGTCTACTAAATCTACACATTTACTAAATCTATATTTCTACTGTCTACTAAATCTACACATTTACTAAATCTACCTGATCTTCCCAAATATGCTAATATATAGATATATGCATTCTCGACAAATATGCACTTGATATCTCAAATCCGATCACAATCGTTACAATAGAATACTAAACATTACAGTACTTGGTTAGTTTTTGAATATATAGTAACAACGTGATGCAAACACTATTGTATGATTTAGTAAAACCGTTTTAAAATAAGAAATTCAAATACTAAAATATTTCAAATTAACCTAATTATGTTAGAATTTGTAGACATTCTATGAATTATCTGTTATTAATAGATTAAAGAAATAAAAAAAATGTGCTGAATGAGATAATTGGAGCAAAGTACTATTACACATCGCGCTAGTTTTTTAATAGCCTAATTTTTCACCCATGTCTTATAAACGCTTGGGTAATCTGCAATTAAGTTTAATCACTAGTATAAACTAAAAGTACTTTGGCGTTGTGCTTTGCAACATTACTGGGAAAATATGAATCAATTACTACCGCTCTTGTATTACTGAATATAGAAATGTCTAAGCAACACTGTAGCACAAAGAAAGAATAAGATATCTCGGATAAAAGTTTGGCTTTAAAACACATAGAGGGGTACAAAAATTTCTAGAATAGAAAAATTAAAGATATAAATAAATACATATATATGCAATAGAAACAATTTGGTTAAACAAAATGAATAGGCAAACTAAAATTAGACACCTAAAATAGTAATTGACCTATTTTTTCTGAACAATTTATTTAGTAATTCAATGCTGTACCATATACGGTGCAAGAAATCTAAAAACCACAATTATACCTTATAATGATAAAATATAAAAGTGAAATTAAATACTTAAATTTATTGAAGTCGATTATTTAATTTTAATGTGCAACTTGATTATAGGTTACAGATAATGCCAAGCTTGATAATCAAGTAACATGTACATATATACTTTATTGATGAGAATTTCAATGCTTGTATTTTGTCTGTATAAGGTATAATTGTGGTTTTCAGATTTCTTGCATCGTATGTATTATTGCCGCTTATTCCACAATTAAATAGTATAATATACTTGGTTTATACTTCAAATGCCATAATCACTATACTATGTTAAGCGATAAAATTTAGGCACTCTGCAATTACAACAAGTCACTACGTACGTACTATATATGTGCGTATAAGAAAGTTGTACACATGTAAGAAATCTAATGTTGTAATTAAACTTTTTTGTAATTAAACTTTGTTGCAATTAAACTTTGTCTAATTAATGAATTGATAAAGTCCAATAAAATATATTAGTTAAGTCACCTAAGATGAGCTTGTTATAAAAATGATCGATTTATTTGTCATAAAAGAGATCAGAAAATCTAATCTTTCACTTATCATAAACGAAAACCGTTTATTAAGCGTTATTAATTTTATTAGATAACACTATTCGTATCAATCCACACTTAACATAATTTGTGTTAGATTCCCACACTATAACTATCGCATTCCTTTTTATATAGTACAAAATAGTTAGAAACGAAAAGGAATTGTTGTAACACTAGTTCTACCTAAAATGCATCAAGCTTATCACAATGTTTTACAATTCCTTCGGATATTTCCTATCATTTATCTCACAATTACGTAATTAGTCAGTTAATGTTACTGTCACATACCACAGTCAATTACCGTGCAGACCAGAATCACACATCTTTTGCATATCAGATAATTGTTGCAATCGTACTAAAATAGATGTAATTTGACCTTTTTTTAATCTTGAGTAACTTCTGATATACTGGTTTGTTTTTGATACTAAAATGTTCGTCTTGATGAGACAATTCCAACAAATCCAAAATTATCAAAATCCGATCACTGGATCATGATATCGGTAAGGTTTTTTTACATGCTAGACCGCGTCTAACCAATGAAACCCACATCACAGGTACGTTGATATGTAAAAAAAACCTTAACGATCTCATGATCCAGTGATCGGATTTTTGATGATTTTGGACTTTTTAGAATCGTCTCATCGAGACGAACATTTTGGCAGCAAAATCATCAAAAACAGATTGGTAGATCAGAAGTTACTCAAGATTAAAAAAAAGGTCAAATTACATCTATTTTAGTACGATTACAAAAATCAGCCCATATCGATATGGTCCTATGGATAATTCAGTAATTATTTTTGGATTCTACCACAAAATCCCGAAAACCATTTTCCCGAAAGAACATAATACCGATTAAATAGACCAACATTATAACTAATGCCGGCTTACTTTGTCGGTATTAGGTCCTTTCGGGAATCTGTCTTTCGGGATTTTGTAGTAAAACCTTATTTTTGAACCTTTATATATGACGTAATAACAACTTGGTCTGGATTCAAAATTAATTACCCCTATCTAATCTTAATCGGTTGATTATTACTTAATTCGGACTAGCTATACGTTCAAATTATATTAAACCTACATAATGGCGTCTGTTTTTTCTTTAACGCGGTCATATTCGACTAGCGCTTAATGATATTGATAATATATAATAAGAATTAATTTTTGACGATGCTTGACAAATTTAATAATGCAATAGCTGATACTCCCTTTGGGAGATACTTTAAACTTAAGAACAGTGGTGCTCCTAATGCTCGTGATACCAATTTCACCACTGAGCTTCATGCTGGATTAACAACTTTCGTTACTATGGCCTATATCATAGCAGTTAATGCGACTGTCATTACTGACTCAGGTATATGATCATTCTTCTTCTTTTTTATACTAAGTATGACATGAAAATTAATAATTAATGATCTTTTTTTATCTTTAAGGTGGTCCATGCGTTTGCAATCCCAATAGTACGAATCTATGTATAACTGATCCAGATTATTTAGCGTGTCAAGCAACAGTGAAAAAAGACTTAATTACTGGTACAGCTGCTATTTCATGTATAGCAACCGCTTTAATGGGGATTTTTGCAAATTTGCCAATAGGTCTTGCTCCAGGGTAAATTTTAAATTTTATTAAGTGCCAAGATTATTCAACTAATTGATATTATAATATTAAATCCTTTTAAATTTTAAATTATTTAAGGATGGGTTTAACCGCCTACTTCACTTATACTGTAGTTGGCTTTCATGGAACGGGTAAAGTTTCGTATGAAACTGCTCTTGCTGCCGTATTTATAGAAGGTCTTCTCTTTGTTATTCTTTCAATATTTGGTATTCGTCAATGGCTTGCAAAGCTTATTCCCATGTCTATAAAAGTTGCGACTGGTGCTGGCATTGGTCTTTTCCTCAGTTTTATTGGATTGCAAAGTAGTGCTGGGATTGGTCTGATAACCCATGTTCCTTCTACAATCGTAACTCTTGGTGCCTGTCCAGCACAATATTACAATGCAACAACTGGTATTTGTAGTAGTCATCATATGGAAAGTCCAACCACATGGTTAGGGATTATAGGTTTCTTGCTTGTTGTGATTATGTTACTTTTTAGAGTAAAGGGGAGCATATTGTTAGGGATTATTTTTATTAGTATTGTAAGCTGGTTTAGAAATAGTGAAGTCACCTATTTTCCTTACACGTAAGTATTAAATACAATAATATATCGTAGCGCGCTGACTAAAATTTCCCGGCGCAGAACAAGTTAATTAAATGTGGATTTCTATTTTACGACATAGACCATTCACGTACAATATACCCAGATATTTTATAAGTTTATTTTTGTTGGGTATTTTGTATTAAATCCTAGATCTTTAAGTCAGTACGCTACAGCATATTTAATTGTTTTTGTTTATAGAGTTATTATTATAATGAATATTGTAAAAAATATTGATAAAAATATTGTAATGGCTTTTTTTCATAGGGATGAGGGTAATGCTCGATTTAATTTCTTTAAAAATGTCGTTGGGTTCCATTCCATAGAAAAGTAAGGGTTGTTTATGTGATGTATGCTTATTTATATATATACTTATAAACAAATTCTATTATATCAGAACACTGGCCGCAATGCATTTCAACCTTGGAAATAAAGATGTCTGGGTGGCCTTAATAACTTTCTTATATGTTGATATATTAGACACAACCGCTACTCTTTATTCAATGGCAAAATTTGGTGGCTTCATGGATGAAACTGGTGATTTTGAAGGTTCTACCGCTGCATTTATATGTGATGCATCCTCAATTACTATCGCTTCTATTTTTGGCACGTCTCCTGTAACTACGTTTATTGAATCAGGTTCTGGAATTACTGAAGGCGGTCGAACTGGAATTACTGCTCTTACTATATCATTCTGCTTTTTCATCTCGTTATTCTTTGCTCCTATTTTTGCTAGCATGCCTCCATGGGCTACTGGTCCTGCTCTAGTAGTCGTTGGCGCTATAATGGCAAAGAGTATTAAAGATATTAACTGGGAATATATTGGTGATGCGGTGCCTAGTTTTTTGTATGTATCTGTTCTATTTATACGGTTTTCTCTTTTACATTATCTTCAATACTCTTTAAATTTTGTTGATTATAGGACTATTGCGATTATGCCATTAACTTATAGCATCGCTTACGGTCTCATCGCTGGTATTGTCTCATATTTAATTATTAATACTGCTGTATGGCTGATAGAAAAGGCATCTTTTGGCCGTATATCACATGATAAATCAGACAAAGAACCATGGGGCGATTTTATGATTGGACCAGGCGGTGAAGGATATTTCCCGGCATGGTTTGTAAAAGTTGTATATAAAGTACGAGGAATAGAAAGAACTCCGGAAATGAACGATAATATAGACATACATGAAACGAAGGAAACAAAAGAGGCGAGTGAAATAAATGAAACTAGTGAAATAAGTGGTTTGAAGGATGAAATTGCTATTGAGATTGATAGAAAGAAAGAGTAAAAGAGCTCTTGTAGATTGGTATTAATTTTTTCACACGTTTACTATAATTATAGTAATTTTTTAATTTAAAAACAGTTTATCTATTTATCTATCTGTTGTATCTACGTGTCTATAATCTTTTTGCATTCCTATGATATCGCATGATATAATTTTTGGATCCCTTCGGAATATCGGATACTTGCTCAAATTTTAATGTTCTCTTTTATGTTCATTCATTTTCTTTTCGGAATTTTTCGAAACTTTTGCATCCATATTCCTTAATTCCGCCCGACAATACGTTCTCTGGCCTAAATTATATATACTTTTATTTTAGGGAAATTATATATAAGGGCCCAAAACCGAAAATAGTACAGATAATGACCCAAAATAATTACAGATAAAGGCTTATATTTGAAATTATTAAAATTAGGACCAAAATAATTCTGCGCTTAAAGACCCATGATTTAATTTCGTAATTCAATGACTCGAATGTGACTCAAAATATAGTATATAGTTAATTGTTAAGCGTGTAAGAATTGTAATGATAATAATCGATTAGTAAATTGAATATAAATTCAAGTGTGCAATAAAAAGCATACCTCTGATTCAATCAATTCATAAATTTATTTATTCTTTGCACTTTAATAGTGTTCCAAGCCGATTAAGTTAGCCGCTTAGCCGGCCACTTAGCCGCTTAGCTAGCTGATAGTCTAATCAGCCGGCTAATAACGGCTAATGATATTAATTACAAAATTAAAAGTTGCATATATAACTAAAATTTATATGTGTCATATAAAAAAAAAAAAAACCTATTACCAAACTTAAACCTCTGCTATCATTATACGTCGAATTAAAAATTTTGCATTAGATCAAAATGATTATAATGCCACCAATAAACTATATACCTAACTTGAGTATTGCACTTTTGTAACATGATTGCTGACCAATTAAATTTCAAAATTTCAAAATATAATATATTTTAACAACTAATAATTTTTGACTTAGCAATCTACGGTCTGACCTCGTTATAGTCACTCTCAATGTAGTCACAACCTTGTTATAATCACACTATTTTTTTGGTCTAGCTATTATAAAACATATAAATTTTGACCTTTATTTAGTCACAACTTTTTATAATCACCAAAATTTTGTTTCCCAACCTGAGGTCAGACTGTATTTTAAATGATTTTGCCACCAAAATAACCATCTCGATGAGACTATTCCAAAGTGCTCAATATTATCCAAATCCAATTACTGAATCCAAAGATCATTAAGGTTTTTTTTTGAGCTATTTTGGGTGTATTAAAAAATTGGTTAAATCAATTTTAATACCTAAGATAGTATAAAATCCTCAATGATTTCTAGGTCTAGTGATTGAATTTGAATGATTTTAAGCTTATTGTAACTGTCTCATCAAACATCCCTACAAAACAACTAAAAAAGTCAATTGAGACTCTAGAAAATTTATAACTTTCTATCATACAGGTTTATCATTTTAATAATTCTGGCAACCACTTGAGAAAGACACATATTGCACTAAGATTTTATAATTCTGTGTTAATTATACCAGAAACTGAATATGATATAACTCGTATAGTATAGCAGTATAAATATGATTACATGTATTTTGTGGTGTAAGTACACAAAATTCAATCCGATAGATTTATAATTGGGCGGAGTAAACGTGAATATTTGCACCTAAACATCACTTGTGGCAATTAATATGTATATGTATATTTTAAAATGTCAATGTTAAATCATATGATTTTAGCCAAGTGATTTAATGTTGATTTGTGCATTATCGCGGAAATATGTAATTTGTGCTTTAAACAGTAGGAAGATGGATTAGAGATGATTAATACGTATTGGTATCGATACGTAAATTTATTAACCAAAACTTAAATTCAATGACTGGATTTTAGCTTAAATTTCGCTTATTACTATTAATAACGTTCAGTCATATTTTTATATGATTCATTATCTTTATGTAGAATTAAGTAATCTGATTTTATATCTAATATTATGTAATATTATTTTACTACATGTGGCTCATTTTATTGTTATTATTTGATTATGTGTGTACAAGCCTCTTATACTCCCATTAAATGTTTATTTTACAATCCATCTATCGCATTTACTTATTTAGTCAGGCATTTATCATTGATTATAACATGTAATGTGGTAAAATGATATATGCAGAGCCGCAATATTTTTTCTTTTACTAATCTAACCTAACTAAACGCGTTAACATATTTAGTCACCTATATTAGCAATTATTGTGCAGGCATGTTATTGACGACTGAACTAAAAATTTCATATTTTTGTAGAATTTTATATTTGTGCAGTTACGTCATCACTGATATTTTAATCTAAAAAAAGGAACATAAAAATACACAAGAAAGGGAAAAGTAAAAATTTGATTATGTAATTATAGAAGTGTGAAAAAATAGTATAATCGTCAATAACTTCATCACCTTATTCAACACTACAAAATATTTGTAGCAATATTGTTCTATGCTTTGTGCTTAACAGTTCCTAACATCTGACTCACAATTTTGCCATTGGAGTTTTGCAAAATTCAGAAAATTTTAAAATTTAAACTGGCATATTTTATGACGTATTTGTATATACACATATCGTAGAAACTATTTCGACATTGATTTTTTATATGAAACTGATTAGGTACCTAGGTAGTTTCATATCAAAAAACCAATACCGAAATAGTTTCTACGGCATGTATATTTATATATAGGTACGTAGCCGGTACATCTTTTTCTAGTAACTACGTTTAATTTTTAGATAGGTGCAATAACTATAATGATGAATAAAAATTATATTCTAATTTACAATGATTCTGTTAATAAAATTTCTTAAGGCATTTATTATTTAATTTAACAAGGTATTTCAAGGATAATATATAATTTTTTTTTTAAAAAAAAAACAATATGCGACAATAACTGCTAAAAGAACTACAGTTGACCCATTAATATCAACCTCTTAATATCAACTTATAAAATGAATTTCTATTTATTAAAATTATATTCACATATGTCAACTTTAAGTTCAAAGCATTTAATTCCTATTATTTGTTATTTGCCTCAGATTTAAAGAGGAGATTTGACATTAACACCGTTAACAGCTCTAATCAGCACAGCATCTTAAGCTTATCAAAAATTAAATACTTTTGCATTCAATATCAACAAACTTATCTGTGACGGTTTAAATTCATGCTTAGAAATTTTGATAAATTCAAGTATCATTAATTCAACATTCAATTCTAATAATAATTGAGAAATTATTCGCCACTTAGCTTAATTTCAACAAATCTCTAATTACAATTATCAATATTCATTCATGATAAGTTGGTCAAAAACATTATTAACTACCTAATTTACATTAATTTATAAATATTCTAAAATTGCATCCATATTCAAAATATTTCTATCGATTAAGTTGACCATATATTCCCCGTTCCTGGATTTGGTTGCACAGCTACCTAATTAATTACTTATACATGCTAAAATTTATAAATTTGATTCTCCCAAATGTTGTCCTTGTATCATCATATAATAAATTCCCTGTAATTTTAATAATTCTTGATGTGTGCCTTGTTCATGAACTTTACCATCTTTTATAACAAATATAATATCAGCATGTTGAATTGTTGATAATCTATGAGCAATCGCTAAAGTTGTTCTCCCGTGAGCAGCTGCATCAAGAGCTTTTTGTACAACCTTTTCTGATTCTGAATCTAAAGCTGATGTTGCTTCATCGAGTAATAAAATTTTGGGGTTTCGAATAAGTGCTCTGGCAATAGCAATTCGTTGCTTTTGACCACCTAGAAAAAAAAGAGTTAGTAATGTTATATAGAACTCTTTAAAAGTCGTGCTCACCAATATTTTTAAGACAATTACCAGAAAGTTGTACTCCTTTTCCACCAACGCGCGTATCATAACCATTAGGTAACCCAACAATAAATTCATGGATATTTGCTTCTCGACATACTTTTTCTAAGTCACTTTGAGTAATATTTTGTCCAGGTAGACAACCTAGAAGAATATTTTCCTTTATAGTCATATCATACAATGATGGTTCTTGACTTACAAGAGCAATGTGCTCTCGAAGTTTGTTCACATTCATTTTATCAATATTCATTTCATCAATTATAATTGTACCATTCGTCACTTGATAAAACCTTTCAGTAAGGCTTATTATGGTGCTTTTACCACATCCTGATGGACCAACTAAAGCCGCATATTGACCAGGCTTAATCTCTAAATTTAAACCTTGGAGAACTGAAACGCCAGGTCTAGTCGGATAATGGAAATGAACATTAAAGAATTTAATATGACCTTCAATAGGTTTAATCTTTTCACCATTTTGACACCATATATCAATTTTAGGAACACTATCTAATAATAACATTATGGAAGCAGATGCAAATTTTGCTTTAGCCATATCTGGAGCATAAGCAAAGAAACGACTGATAAACCGTGTTCCAACTATAATTCCCATAAAAACCGTAAACAATTGTTTAAGATTATATTCATCAGTCATAAACAATTTACCACCATACCAAAATGCTAAAGCATTTGCAAAAAAGTTGGTACCGCTTGCAAAAGCAAAGGGAATGGAGGCCAAGAATGCATTTTTAAAACCTTGATGCATAGGTTCGTCCAGTAAATTGTGATATCTTTCCCATAAATTATTTTCAAGAGTAAGAGCAGCGACCGTTCGAATATTATCAGCACCTTCACAAGCTATTTGCGTAGAATATTCATAAGCTATCTTAACTTTTTTTTGGAAATCATTTAACATTTTTATACGTAGTGTACCAGATCCAACTGATATAGGTACACTACATAAGCAGACCAAAGCTAGCTTCCAGCCAACTATAAGAGCTACTGTTACAGAAGAAATGACCATAGCCATTACTTGTAACATGTTTCCAAGTGTAACTCCAGCCAAACCACTAATATGAGTCACATCTAATGATAAATGACTAATCAAAGTACCTACACTATGATTTTCTTCATCAAAGAATGAAATATCTTGTTGTAATATAGAAGTAAAAGACATTGATCGAATTCTTTCAGTAAGCTTTTCATTAGAAAATCCAAGAGCAGCATTTTGAATAACATTCACTACAAAGATCATTATAGCATATACAAAAAGCATAAGAGCCCAGAAAGTTGCTTCATGACGTAAAGTATCTCCACTTTTTGAAAATGCTTGAATAACATTAGCAAAAATAATAGCAAATAATGGGAAAATGCAACCTAAAATTAAATAGTTCAACCTTTTTCTTGTTTTATGAAGGCTGCTATATATAATTGAATTATTTCACCTACCATGAATAATTGCTGCTATTATACCTATGGAAAGTACAAGAAATTCAGGCCTATTGATGATTGCTACCTTCTTGATTAACTCCCAGCTAGTATAATTAAGATCATTATGTTTCAATCCCATTTCAGCATCAGATTTTTGCTTAGCCAAAATAGAATGAGAAGAGGCACGAGTAATCTGGTTAATCTGATGCTCATAATTATTTTTGATAGCGTTTAATGTAGTAACTTCATCTTTTGGTTCTGTCTTTAAAGTCTGTTGAGTCTGTTGAGTCTGTTGAATCTGTTGAGTTTCAACAAGTTTAAAATAAGAACCTTTTTTATCCATAAGCTCTTTGTGTGTACCCGATTCAACAATAGCACCTTTATTCATCACAATAATCTTCGTCGCACTGCGAATAGTGGATAAACGATGTGCAATAACTATTGTCGTACGACCTTCTGAAGCTTTGTCTAACGCATCTTGGACGATACTTTCACTTTGTGTGTCAAGAGCACTAGTAGCTTCATCGAGTAATAAAATCTTTGGGTCTTTAACAATAGCACGAGCAATTGCAATACGTTGTTTTTGTCCACCAGATAATAAGATTCCACGTTCACCAACCATAGTTTCGTATTTATTAGGAAGATTCAGAATAAAATCATGAGCATTAGCAATCTTACAAGCATTTTCAATCCTTTCATATTTTTCGTTGTCAGGTAAGTTTTCATAAATAGAACCAACCAATCCATAAGATACATTTTTAGCTATAGTAGTTTTAAAAAGTACAGGTTCTTGACTTACAAGACCTATTTGCCTTCTAAGCCAAGTTAAATTAAGAGATTTGATATTACGACCGTCAAGAAATACGCCACCAGTAAGAGGATCATAGAAGCGAAGTACGAGAGATATAATTGTACTTTTACCAGAACCTGAAGAACCAACCAGAGCAACAGTAGAACCAGGTTCAACATCTAACGATATATTATCTAAAATTTTAACACTAGGACGAGTCGGATAAATGAAATTTATATTTTTAAGTTGAATTTGACCCACAACACTTTCGGGCTTGTCGCCAGTATTAGAAGCAGTATCAATCGGGGGAATACGATCAATAGTTTCAAATATTTTTGAACCAGCGCCAGCGGCGAGGCTAAGAGGTTGAATGTAGATAAAAAAATTGGAAAGACTGAGACAGCCAACTACAATCGAATTGAGTATAAGAACAACCTTGAAAAAAAATAAAAAAAAAGAAAATTAATGAGAACATTAAATAAATTTATATCAGGAGAAAAAAAGGAAGAATGTACTTGTCCGGAAGATAATTCATTATTAATAATCATTGTAGAACCAATCCAGAATGCCAATACATATATTGTATAAGTGCAAAAGAACATTGTGCCAAGACTAAAACCAATTAACAAAGATTTTTTAAAACCTTCTTTTCTTGCATCACCTAAATAAGCATCATAAAGGTTAGAAAGTTTCTTCTGAGCACCAAAGGCCACTGCAGTTCTGATGGCTGAAATAGCTTCTTCGGCGATTATTCCAGCACGAGAAAAGAAATCCAAACTTCTTTTCGTAAAAAGAGCACTAAATTTATTCATTAAACTAGTATTTATAACAAGAAAAGGGATAATGCAGCTTATCGCAAGTGTCATTTTCCAATTTGTAATAAATGCAGCAATGAAAGCTGTAATGAAATGTGCAATATACTGAAGAGAGGCAATATGTAAAAATTAATAGTAAAAGAATAATAACTAATTAAATAAAAAATAAAACGCAACACAATATATATGCATGAACTTACAATAAAAGCAAGAGAAGTTTTTTCACTAATACCATCTTGTACAATATATATATCAGAAGTAATGCGAGTAGTAACCTCGCCTGAGCCATATTTGTCAAAATAAGCTATGTTTTGTCTAAGAACTGCGCGAAGATATCGTTCACGGATTTGTCGTGAGATTCTGAAAGTACATAACACCAATCATATTACGAGATTAGGCCCCTTTTTTTGGATACGGGTTAACTTCCCAAAATCCATTTTTCTGAAATACCATATAATCGAAGCTATAATTCATTTTATTGACAAAACATAATTTTATTTTCTCGATATATAATTAATTGATAGCAAATTTTCCGACAAGTCTTTTATCAGAAAACATTTCATCGAACTAAAAAACGATAGCCTATTATTATACTTCATGTCGAAAGATTTGATGTTTTGAAAAATTGGTTTATCGATATTATTGAGTCCAAGAAAAGATATTTCGGAAAAGTGAACTTCGGGAAATTGAGCAACAACGACCTTTCTTTTTTGAGATTATATAAAAAAAACACCTTTCACCAGTATATACCCAAGTGGCTACCGATATATATGTAAAAATGAAAACGGCGATTGCGAAGTATACATAAACTAATGCAAAATAGTTTACTTCTTTGGAAAACTCATTGGTGCTTATTGTATGGGTTTGAAAACGGGTAAAATAATCTGTCATTATTCCCGTAAGGACTGATACTGCAGCCTGTCAAATTTATATAGATTATCATAAATTGAGAATTTTAAATAAAGCAAATCGGGTAAACATCATAACTTTTTTATTCTGATATGCCTTCGATTAATAGCTCACTTGTCATTATCAGGTATTATGCCAGAAATTGGTAATTTGATATAGCTATTAGTTTTCCGATAGCTCTGATATATACCCGATAATGACAGAATAACACCATTAATCAGAGACATATCGGGCTGTGATATCTACTCGACTTACCAGTGATAAATCACGCAAAAAAAGAAGTATTATAATGAACTTACCATGGCAGCTCCTGTGGCTGCTGAAAACACTAACCCAATAAACATTAATATCCAGTCAAGTTTTGTAGCGAATCGATATAATGTAAAATATGATTCTTTTCTTTCAATGACACTAATCTGATCTTTTAAAATTCGTTCTTCTGTTGGATCAAGCTTTATGCCAGATGATTCTTCAGTTCGTATCGTAGTGCTCTCAATCATCTTTAAATTTATATCAAGATTATTTAAATTATAAGATTTCAATTTAGGATTAGGATTTGGAACGAATTTTTTATATTGAGGTTGTTAGGATTTGGATCGATCTTTATTATATTTGGGGATTGTGTGGGATTTTGAGGGTTTAGAACAATTTTCAAATTTTTTATTTATTTATTTTTGAATAGACATAATACATTCAATAAAAGAGTTTGCTATACGTAAGTTACGAAAGCTAATTATGTAATAAAAGGTTCACAACAATTTACTCAAAATTGTTTCACACGCCAAAATGGGCCCTTTTAATACATGACACCCCAATTGTTCTTATAACCTGACCGGTATGGACCAGTGTGGTCTAATTAACTCTCAAGATTATAAAAAACTATAGTAAGCCAGAATAGAACCAGACTAAAATAGATCAGGCTAAGCCAGACCTGACCGTTAATATCCCTACAAAACAACTAAAAAAGTTACTTCAATTGGGACTCAAATTTATAACTTCATATACATTTTACAATTCTAGGGAAGAACACGCTATACTGGAATTTTGTTATTCCTTGTTAAATTGTACCAGGAACGGAATGTTGTGTACATAACACGTAGAGTATAACATTATTAAGTAAGGTTATATTGCATTTTTTTGTAGTGCCTGTACGTCAGACCTTATCCATAACTAAATACGTATGACTTTGGTCATATAATCATATGACTTATTGGATCATAGACCATGCGGCCATTACAAGGCCATAAATCATATCAACCTTTGTTATGACCAAATGATCCATGACAAGTTATGACAGGTCATAAAAGCCATATAGATTGTAGAGGTCATCGGCTGACAAAAAATCTTCAATCCGATTGGTTTATAATTGGGGCGGAATAAAACATGAATTTTGCAACTAAACATCAATTGTGGCGGTTAATATGTATATTTAAAATCTCATTAAACCAATAAAATAGTAATACTAAAATATATGCTATAGATTTGTAAAATAAAATAAAATAAAATAAATTAAATTAAATTAAATTTACAAATACAAATGATTATTTTTAATTAACATTGCGGAAATACCCAAGGTCTGAAATTTTGACTATTAATGTGTAA